TTTTTCTCTTTCTGACTTATTATGCTTCACTCTGTATGACAGACTCTAGGTCCATCAGTGAACCTACAACTGACCATTTCCTTTCTAAGCATCTTCTAGATGCATAGATGCATGTTTTCCTTTTTCACAGTAGAATATAAACACATGGACTACTGGGGCGGTGATGACAAAGTCTGTGAAGGTTGCCCACCCCTTGAGGCATCGGGGACCCTGTACCAGGAGGAGCTCAGAACGATTTCAGCATCCTACCCAAACCAAGGGGATGACAGAAAGATACAAGAGCAAGAAGCAACTCCTGGTTCTGGGTGAAACCAAGCTCCTTATATCAAATCCCATGAACATGAGTTCCCCAAAATAATTAGGAGATGCTTATAGCTCAATGCTGAGCAAGCCTTCTTCCTGCTGGTGAACAGACACGACAGGGGGAACATGTCCACTTCGATTTCCAGAAAGTGAAAAAGATGAAGATGGATTCTTATAATTGGCATTTCACTCTCAGGAGACATTTGAAATGAAATGGTCAGTTAAAGACTAGAAAAATGCAAGCGTTCTAGAAATTTTTAAATCAATACCGAGTTAAAAAAAGACTCGCCAACAGAGACATCAATTCATCTAACCACAGATCAGGAAAACAGCAGTGGTCTGAGCCAGGAGTTCCAGCAAGTTGCTTTGACAGTAGCAGACAAACTGCGCTCCAAAGGAACATACCCAGCTTTGGAAAACTGTACTATTCAACTTAGCCTACTTTAGTGTCAAACATAAAACCCTTTGCACTCCATGCTGTCAATAAAATAGACCTTCAAGTTATCTGAATGCTTTTTTTCCCCATAGGAACTTGCAATTTCAGCAGTAACTTACAGGTATTCAGAGACAGTGTCTTCTCTTTAGCCGCACAGAATTGGCTGACTTTATAGAAGAGTTTCCACTCAGCTGGAGAAATCTCCCTAAGAGGATCTTTAAGCATAAGTTGTTGAACGTAAACCACTAAAAATGCATTTGCCATAAGAATTGACACAAAACAGGGTGAATGGGGGTATAGAAGAAAACATCTCTAAATGAACGCCTAAGAAAGGTATATACCAAAATGCTTTTGCAGTGTTAGAAAGTTCTTCCTTGTTCACAGAAAATATCACTATTTAATAGGAACCTGGAATAATTTATCATTTGGTCTAGCTCCTCTAAACGCCCTAGAGGAAAAAAAGAGTGGCATTTCTTCTGTTTTAGATTTTAAGAGTTCAAACTAGTGCCTGATTTGGTAAGTCAACACCAGTTGCATCAGTTTCACCCTTTAGCACAGTGATAGGAACGAGAGAATAATAAAATGAAAAGCATGCAAATTCAGGTGCACTCCCTTCTGCTTTTTGGCTTAAGGCTACAGATGACTCTTGCTTTATGTTAAGTGTGCCGCTAAAATATGTTATTAAGAAGGGCTCATATTTTTAAGAGTAGTTCAGTTATCACTGTTGGATCAAACATGCATCAAAATTCCCCCATTTAAATGCATATTATTTGCTAAGAAAACACACAAAGGAGATGTGTGTGTGTTTAGTCACTCAGTCGTGTCCAACTCTTTGCGGCCCCATGGACTGTACCCCACTAGGCACCTATGCCCATGGAATTTTTCAGGCAAGAATACTGGAGTGGGTTGCCATTCCCTCCTCCAGGGGATCTTCCCAACCCAAGGATTGAACCCAGGTCTCCCACATTGCAGGTGGATTCTTTGCCACCGGGGAAGCCTGGGCTCTTTCCAAATGTTAGCATCTTCCAAGTCCAACCTAGACTATGAAAAGACTGATGCTTTCTGCTGCTGGCTTGGGATTTACAATTTATCTATTTTTGCGGAGAATCACAGAAAGATCACAGCTATGATATTTGGTAAGTATCAGTATTCCGTATCAGGAATATATTTTTTCATAACTATAAATAAGTGTTTGGCTCCTATCAGTTATTTTCAAATTATGGAAGTTGGACCAAAATGTCTGTCTTACCACTTCAATGTGATTGCAGCACCATCCACCAAGGTAAGCAAAATGTGGCATAGCCATCCAATGGAAGGAACATTAGTAGCAATAAAAAGGAACCACCATACTACAACCTGAATGCACCTCAAAAACATTATTCCAGGTGTAAGAAGTCAGATGCTAAATACCATATATTCTGTTATCATGTGAAGTGCCCAGAAAAGTCAAATCTAAAGAGTCAGAAAACAGATTAGTGGTTGCCTGGGTCTGAGGGTGAGAATGCTGAGTGCTACAAACAGGCACTCAAGATTTTGGGAGGGGGGCAAAGATGAAAATGTTCTAAAATTGGATTGTAATAATGGTTGCACAGCTCCATAAATTTACAAAAAATCACTGAATTGGATGGTATGATGTATTTGATAGTATAATAGAGCTGATTAAAAAAAATAGACAAAAACAAGGCAAGAGTGTCTTACATAAAGTCATTTCCTCTGAGGTTAAAAAATAATTGTAGTCATGTTTTTCTAAATTTACAGGAAAAAAAATAACTTGATGGATACAGTTTTCTCAATTTGAATTTTTCAACCCCTAAATTATTGGCATCTACTACTACAAGTTTAGATTTTATTGAATTTGCATGAAATTGATGTTGTTTCTAGCTATTTCAGGTTTAAGTTCTTAATATTTCATAATATTAAACCCAGGACAGAGGATTCCTAAATTCTTTCCCAACCTGAGCAAAAGAAGAAACTGACCTGAATAACATAAATTCCTTGACAATTTTTTAATTTGACTATTTAAATCAGTGAAAAAGAGTCTGTGATTTGAAACTAACCTGGTTTCAGTCAGTGTCAAAAAATGATAGATGCTGACTGATATGGTTCCTGATTATGGCCTCAGGGTGTTCCAGAGGATTCCAAAGCTGTGTAAATTCCAGAGGACAGGAATGTGTCTCATTTACACCAGCATGTATCCCCCTGTGTCTCCAAGACAGACCATGCTGCCCCACACAATAAATGTTGGTTCAGTGGTTCAGTGAGCATGTGAACAGGCCTGAAAATCCCCAAGTGCGCCAAAGACTTTCTAAAACTGAGCACACACACGCGCACATATTTTTGTTTTCCAAACTCAGTGGGTGACTGTTTCCATGTTCAGATGCTTAGTAAAATGTAAATTCACATAAACATGCTACTAAATTGATAGTAACATGTTGCCATTTTGAAATGTTTTTCCCACAATAAATGGCCATCTAATTTTAAAGTAAAAATCTCAAAGATTCAAGCCCACTACTGTAAAAGACTTTGACATGCCTCCAAGGAGCTCTCCAGGTAAGAATACTGGAGTGGGTAGTCACTCCCTTCTCCAGGAGAAGAGCGAGATCCTCTCAACCCAGGGATCAAACTCGGGTCTCCTGCATTACAAGCAGATTCTTTACCATCAAAGCCATCTGGGAAGCCCTTAGAAGCCTTAGCTGTTTCCTTTCTCAGTCATCACTCCAAACAAATAAACACACGCCTGATTTTTTCAGTTTTGACCAAATCTAGCTTAGATTTTTCCAACTTTATCCAGAACTTGGATTACAACTCAAGCCCACTTTCTAGCACATTATAAATCACTACACTAACAAATATATTAACATGCTTGTTATTATCTTGTGAAATCATAAACATGCAAAATATGACTGAAAAAGTGTCTGCATTTATTTCAAAAACCTCTCTTCAGTTAGTGCAGGTTTGGTTACTACGTTTATTTAGCAAATTAAAAGGTGAAGACCTTGTGAAGTTTGCTGAGGTCGCAGAAACTGTAAGCCACTTTCATTCTTTCTGTAGTGAGTTGGGCACAAATTCCTGCCTTAGGCACAAATTCCTCTGTGTCAGGGACCTTCAGGCTCGAAGGGTCAGCGTAGGGTGGGAGGGAGGGGGGACGGCCCAGCAGCAGGAAACAATCGCACCTGTTGTGTCTGCAGGGGTACCTGAGACTGCAGCTCGGATCACATTTCTGAAAAGTCAGAGCTGAATATTTAATTCCATCAGGTATATAAAAGGACAGAGTATCTTTCCCCAGTTGCAAGTGAGAAATAATTCCCTTTGAGCACTTTATCTAGCCTATGTATACAGCAATAAGTAAAAAAAAAAAAATTTTTTTATTTCTAAAAATAAAACAACTATAGTGAAAATGGCAGACCCAGTTTCAGGTCCCTTTGGAGCTAACTGCTTCTTTTACATATGTAAATGTACTTGCTCTCCAAGAAGGTTGAAAGTTTACAGCCATGCCCTTCAGGCAATCTAAATCTCCCCTCTCACGGCCATGCGCTATTCCTTCCGTAAGATGACGCTGCTTCTTTGCAACCTGCCGGGGGGTAATCAGTAACTTTCAGCTCTAGACTCCCGTGACAGCAGAAAACTGTCATCCAACAGGTTGTTCTCCCTTCATGACACCTGAAGCTAACAGAAGCCAGCGCGATGAACGTCTGCGCTCTTAAAAATTCAGGGCACAGGCAGCTGCCAAAGTCGTCCCGCGGGGGTCCATAGGTGACAGCCAAGTTTTTCAGAAGGCTTTCTCCACCGCCCGTGAAGAGGGGGACCCCCGGCCAAGGGACTGCCTAACAGCAACCTGAATAAACAATCCAATCGGGCGTGCGCAGGGCGAAGGAGGGGGTAGCCTTTCTCCGGGAAGGCAACTCTGTTCCTTGTCGTTCAGTCACCAAGTCGTGTCCGACTCTCTGCGACCCCACGGATTGCAGCATGCCAGGCTTCCCTGTCCTTCACCATCTCCGGGAGTTTGCCCAAGTTCATGCCCACTGAGTGGATGATGCCACCCTAGAGGCGCACAAACTTCTCGCCCAGGGAATCTGAGTCCAGAAGAAAGGTTTACAGGGAGAATGCCATCCTCACCCAGGACCCGTGTGCAGGAAAATGCCCTCGGTGTTCTAGGCGGCACGGGAGGAGGGTGGAGGGGACCCGCTCCAAGGGCGCCTGGACCCCCGCTAGCCTGGGAGAGAGGGGGTGACCTGGGCGAAGATCGCTGGGGCTCGCCTACCTTGGAGGGCGCTCGGGGAGCGCTGGGTCCGGGCGCCGCGCCTCTCCTGGCTCGGCACCTGGTGCGGGTCGGGCGGGTCGGCTCCGCGGGGCTCGGTGGCTCCGCCGCTGCTCCAGGCAGCTCCGCCCCCACACGGCAGGGCGCGCCGCTGGCAGAGTCCGGCGCCCGAGCGGCTCCGGGGCGGGGCCTGCGCTCCTCCGCGTACGACTCACGCGCCCCGCTCCAGGCGCCCCGGGGCGCCTTGGGAGCACCCCGACACTCAAGTCCCCAACCCTGCACACCGCTCAGTAACTGGGTTATTCTGTTGGGGGTGGGGGTGGGGGGATAGTTCCTGCTGCTTTTTTCTTTTTTAAGGTCCTGTTTACGCTCCAAGCTCATATACTTTTTGGTTTTGCTGTTTACACTTTGGCCACGTGATGCGAAGAACTGACTCCTTGGAAGAGGCCCTCCTGGAGAATCCCATGGACAGAGGAGCCTGGAGGGCTACAGCTCATAGGGTCACAAAGAGTCAGACACGACTGGGCAACTGACACATGTTAGATTTACTAAAAAGTTGCAGAGAGAGTACAAAATTCCCTACACTTCCCTTGCCGGTGTCCCCTAGTAGTCACGTCTTACGTCTGCACGCTACAGCTGTTAAAACTAAGAAATGAACATCCATCCGTCACTATTAACTAAACTCGACCTAGTGTGGATTTCCCTAGTTTTCTGCTGATCTTTTTTCTGCGGATCTAGTTTTCTTTCTGATCTTTCTGCTCTGGGATTGCCTTCAGGACTCCACGCTCCATTTCAGTGTTGTATCTCTTTAATCTTCTCTTATCTGCCACAGTTTCTTGGTCTTCTCTCGTTTTTTTCTTAACTTCGACAGTCTCGAAAGATTTTACTAAGCTGTTTTGTGGATATCTACCATTTGGTTTCACTTGATGCTTTTCTCATGATTAGGCTGTGGTCCACCTGCAATGAGGGAGATCTGGGTTCGATCCCTGGGTCAGGAAGATCCCCCGGAGGCGGGCATGGCAACCCATTCCAGTATTCTCGCCTGGAGAATCCTATGACAGAGGAGCCTGGCAGACTACAGTCCATGGGGTCACAAGGAGTCTGACAGGACTGCACGGTTAAACACAGCACATGGATTTGAGAGAGGCGACCACACTTGCAAAGAGTCCTGTCAAGGGCTACATGATAGCAACAGGACTTAGTACTGATGACGTTGACCTTCATTGCTTGGTTAGAGAGCTGTGTGCCGGATTTCTCCCAGGCAGTTACTATTTCTCTTTCATAGTCTTTTTTTTTTTGGATGAAAGTCACTAAGTTCAACCCACACCCAAGGGGAGGGTGGGGGGTGGGGGAATGAAACTCCATCCTGGAGGGGAGAGTATCTCCTTTATTATTTGGAATTATTCTGTAAGGAAGATGAGTCCCTTCCCTCTTAAATATTTATCTATTCAATCATTTACTTACATCAGTATGGACTCATACGTGTTCATTTTATGTGATTGGGTGCTCAGTTGTGTCCGACTCTTGGCAACCCGGGGGATTGTAGCCCGCTAAGCTTCTCTGTCCATGGAATTCTCCAGACAAGAATACTGGAGTGGGTTGCCAGTTCCTTCTCCAGGGGACCTTCTGACCCAGGGATTGAACCCACATCTCCTGTGTCTCCTGCATTACAGGGGGATTCTTTACCTCCTGAGCAATCAGGGAAGCCCCTGATGAATTGAGTTATAGATATTATTTTTTGTTTCTCGAATAGTTACAGTTCTGGCTGAAATGCTTTCAGACTGGCTCCTGTAACCCTTTGAAAGTTCATAAACTTTTAGAGCTGGGAAGGAAAAAAAAAAAAAACCAACTCACTAATTATTTGCTCTCCTCCCTTTCATGTAACAGAAAACTACAGCCCAAATCTGAGGGCTTTTCAGGGTCTTCCTTGAAACCCTACACAATTGCTGATTCCTACTCCAGTAGTAGGAAATTAAAAAAAAAAAAAATTTCCCAACAGATTAATTTGTGGGTTGGGACCCAGTTAGAGAAGTGAAAGTTGAGAGTGCTTAGGTAAGTTTTGGTTAACCAATCCATACGGTTCTATGAAACAGGTTTATGTAGAGATAAATCATGTTCCAAAGATAGGCATGGAAGTTTATTACTGCTTTAAACACTGAAGAAATCCTGCTGTTGAGATCCTTTGTTATATTGCTTTGGCTGACTCATGTTTGCATTTGCAAGTTGATCCCATAAACAGGACACTCCTTCTTCTGAGCTTGTGTCTGGCTCAGAATCTGATGCTGCCTGGCATTCTGAGACCCCCTCTCCTCTGCTCCTTTCCTTAATCTTCTTGGGGAAGGGAATCTACTCCATTAGTCCAAGATTTTCCTGGTAGATACAGGACGGATGGCTCAGTGTCCAGCAGGACTGAGCAAACTGATTTTCTCAAAGTGACTAAACATAATAATGGCTAAGAGAAAATATTTTACATTTCAGTCCCACTGTTTTGTTCTCGTTGTTCAGTAGTGCAGTCGTGTCCTACTCTTCCCATTATATCCCAGAAGAAATGGACGAGATCGGAGGAGAAGGTGCACTTTTTGTGCGCTCTGCTGGGAGGAGATGTTAACTGAAAGTAATAAGTCTAATCGGGATGAAACACAGACTATATTTCATAGTTCTTCAAATGTACTAGTCCCTAGGTAATTTTAATATATCTTGCGTGGAGGGGAACGGGCAACTACCCCTTAACAAGAGTGTGGAATTAGAAAATATTGGCTACCTACATAATGTAGTTCAGGAGAATCTATAAATCACACGTAAATATAAAATGCCAGTGGTGTGTCTTAGAGGTTGGAAATTGGGGAAGGACAGATCAATGTGTATAGATTTATTTTATCGCTTTAGAATTTGGCTGCTATTATTATGACCGAGTAAATACAAACCATTTTATGTAGCCAAATAGGGACTTCCCTCGTGATCTAGTGGTTGGGAATCCTCCTGCCAATCCAGGGGACAAGGGTTTGATCCCTGGTCCAAGATCGCACATTCTACAATTCAGTCCCTGTGCCCCAATTACTGAGCTGGCTCTCTAAAGCCCAAACTCTCCAACAAGAGAAGCCACGGCCTTAAACGCCGGCACACCACAACTTCACCCCACACGCAGCACTGAACGCTCCGTGCAGACATATGTTTTCGTTTTTCTACCTCCATTGCCTAAAGTGGTTCCAGACTCAGTAGTTTCACTCTAACTGGAGTGAATGCGGGCGACGGTGGTAGTTTACTGACGGTGATGAACGGATCTGTAGGGGCTGCGTGAGGATGCCACGGGCCGAGGCAGAAAGCTGAGCAGAAGGTAGTCTGGCCTCCACACCCGCTTCAAGCAGAGCAGCTCCAAACCTATCAGCTTGATAAGATTGTCCATATTTTAATAAAATATTAGTGTTATGTATTTTTTTGGAATGGCTTGGGTTGATCTGAGGGAGATGGTGTAGGAACCAAAGCGTCTCCAAACCTGCGCAGCGCCCTCATTGAATGGGGGCCACAAGGAGGAGGGGTGTGGGGGCAGAAGAAAGCACCTTATGCAGCCTCCTCGCCCAGCACAGAGCACACTGTGGCCCAGGAAGAAAGAGGGCCTGACTGTGATTCAAGCACCCACATCAGAGACTGTGTCTCGCGACACTCAGCCACCAGGGTTTATACTGGAAATCACGGTGGTTTATTTCTGTTTGGAAGTTGTTTGCTAACAGGAAGAATTACATATACACATATATACTATATGTATATGTATGTGGTGGTTTAGTCGGTGAGTCAGGTCTGACTCTTGCGACCCCGTGGACTGTATGGAGCCTGTCAGTCTCCTCTCTCCATGGACTTCCCAGGCAGGAATACTGGAGTGGGTGGCCATTTCCTTCTCCATGTGTATGTGTATGTCTGTGTATATATATACATACATCCATATGTACATACCTATGTGTGTGTATGTATATACACATATGTATGTGTGCTCAGTTGTGTCTGATTCTTTGCAGCCCCATGGACTGTAGCCCCCAGACTTCTCTGTCCATGGAATTTTCCAGGCAAGAATGCTGGAGTGGGTCGCCACTTCCCAACCCAGGGGATTGCNATGTGTGCTCAGTTGTGTCTGATTCTTTGCAGCCCCATGAACTGTAGCCCCCAGACTTCTCTGTCCATGGAATTTTCCAGGCAAGAATGCTGGAGTGGGTCGCCACTTCCCAACCCAGGGGATTGCACCTTCATCTCTTATGTCTCCTGCACTGACAGGCAGATTCTTTTAACACTAGCACCACCTGGGAAGCCCCATATGTGTGTATATATGATATGTAAGACATATTTTTCATGCAAATTCTTACTATGTCATTCCAACCCCCCAATAGGCACACATACTGCAATTCATTAAAAAAGGTAAAAGAGCTCCTTCCCTCCACATGCCCCGCTGATGACAGCCTAAATCCCTCCCCAGCCCAGAGGAGTCCTCTCTCACCATCCTTCCTGCTGCTTCTCTTCCCGCGTTGCTTGCTGGCAAGGTGGGGCAGCTTGTAGAGCTCCAAACTGCCTCTCATTTCTCACACTGTTCCTATCTGCTCTTGTTCCCTCACCTCACATTTTGACCCCGCTGACTACAATGCCCTTTCCCCTTCTCTTAGTCTTGAAAATTCGTTCTCTGTTTATTTGCTGCATACAGGGAAGCCTTCCCTGAACTCTCCAGCTTATCTCGGCCTTCCCAGTTAGGTCATCCCATAAAAAGCTTGATATATTGCTTTTGCTACTGTGTCAGCTTCTTTGACAACTGTAACAAATTACCACAAACTTGATTGCTTTAAAAAAATACACATATATTACTTTACAGTTCTGTAGAAGTCTGACAATGTCCTCACTGGGCTGAAATCAGTATATCAACAGGGCTGTGTTCTTTCTGGAAGTTCTTGGGGACAATCTGTTTCTTTGCCTTTTCCGTTCCATTTCTTGGCTTCTGGGCCCTTTCTCCATCTTCAAGACCAGCCCCGTCTCTGGCTCTCAGTCTGAATTTCCCTCTTCCACTTATAAAGACTTTTGAGATTTC